AAAAGAGTAAATTTGTAATATCTGTAATATTTAGCGTATTTAGATTTTATAACTAGGGTGCAGTTCTCTCAGTGTTGTTTGTTGTTTAGTCAGTTTTAGTCATTTCTATATTTAATGGTTTTAGTCGAGTTTTAGTCGACGAAAGCTTAAAATAATTGTTTAGTTTTAGTCTTAAAAAAGGACAACATATTAGTCTTTACAAATTAATTTGAGTAATTTGTGTAAACATTTGTGAATTTGTGTAACTAAAAATGCCCAAAACAAAAACATTCTCACTTTGTGGCTTTATTTCTCTGAATTTGCTAAAGTGCRATGAACATACAAAATACACATGCCCAATATTATAAGCAATAAAGGGAAACACATATGTTCAACTCAAACTTGTCAGCCAGGACGATCAAGATGCATCTTTTTTATAAAAAACGGACATCATCTAGTCCTAAACTTAGTTAGTAGACTATTAAACTTGTGCAAACGAGTGTTTACATGCACCAGGTTTTTATTCAAAACAGAAGCACTGACATGCGCAGTTGCTAACTCCCCCCGGCCAAAAAAAAAAGGAGTTTTACTTTCGTCATGCATGTAAACAAACAGCTTCTGAGCTCAGAATGGACATGCGACAGCTTTTAATGGTGGAGACGTTACTCCCTGGTTAAGCTACAGGTGACGGACAGATTTTTTTTTTTTGCGAAGCGGCGCAGGCTGTTTGTCTTCCTTTTGTACTGAATGAGAGGMGAAAATGTTCTGTGCTGCTGTGTGCACGTGTGCAACAGCGCTGCTGTCCCTCCCTCCTCTCTGCATTTTAAATGAATGACAGAACACCGACTAACATTTTCGTCCAGTCTCGTCAACGAAAACTCACACATTTCGTCACGTCTTAGTCATCAAAGAGCTATGTTTATTTCGTTACCGTCTCGTTATCGTCATGAAAAAAAGGGGGCGTCAACGAAAATATTTCGTCATCGTTAACGAAAACAACACTGTTCTTTAAGTATTAGACCCTAATCTGTAAAACTACAAAGATATTTGATTAAAGCTGAAATTCTTGACACCGTTATTTTCTATAAATTCAGTAGAACTGATCAAACAAAAAAATGTTTTGATAATCAATCACACACTTTTTTTTTAAATATAAAATGAGTCACGGGGTTAGGTTTATCAACACGATGGACAGGGAAGGGTAACTCTAGAAGGAACTGATGTTAAGTACACTTTTTTATCAGATTGCCATGACATTTAAAAGTAGGGCATTTATATAAGAGGATAAAAACACTACCTGTTAGTGTTCCTGGGATTCGACAAGTGTCAAACATCTGTTCAAACTGATAGGAACAGCAAGGAACTGCAGACCTCAATAACCACTGAGTATGATGGAAAGAGATGGGCCGGTACAAAAACAAYGTGAAGGAAAGGAAGTGAGGAAATAAAGGAATGTTGAAATTAAGTCATAGTTTTGGTATGAGTGGAAAAGGGATCAAGGAAGAGGCGATAAAAAGACAAGAAAATGTAGAAAATAGGCATTAGTTAAAGACAGAACATTTTCAGAACCTGGGACACACCAGAGATGAGATCAGTATGAGGAGACAGATGTGAACTGCAGACACACACACTCACTCACTCACTYGGTGAATCACAGATGTCTTGCTCCAAGCACACACACACAGTCCTTCATACTATATTTTGCTACACACTTTAACTGCAGGGTCGGGACAMCTTCACTGAAACTCATTAAAWGAGCTCGAAACCAGAGCTGGCTTCTTTTTTAAAAAGGATCATGAATCATACAGCAGGACTTTATGTTCCTACATGTGTGTACAAATCAGTCTCTTTACCGGTTTCCTCTCCAGGAATGCGTGAGGTGTTGAAAATCCTCTCACACTGAGCAGCACACAGAGGAATGACAGTGCCTGGGATGCGACTCTGGGAAATTGAGAGGAGAAGACGAAGGCGATGGTGCAGAGAGAAGAGAAGTGGAGGACAGTACAGGAAACGTAGATTCAAGCAAAAATATATATTTTTTAAGAATCAGAATGAAAAGGGAAGGAAACACGTAAGCAAGAGAGAGTACAAAAAAAAAGATGAGACATGGGAACAGYATGAGAATCCAAGGGAAATAAGTCTTGGGGTAAGAATTAAGWCTTAAATAAATGGAAACCCAAAAACTATCTGCAATAAACACTGAAAACAAAAGCAAGGTTGAAGTTACGGCAGTATAGCCCATTCACACACTAAAAACCTCATWCATACACGGAAATCTACCGTTTACAATAAAACACATTCCAAGCAGAGACAAGACATCTGTTGTCACAGCATTGTGAAATGAATGACAAACAGCATCTATGGTGTAACCTGTAAACTTACAGGTTTAAGTTCCTCTTTGTTAAGTTTCCGGCGGTACAGGAATAAAGAATGGATGCAGTTGCCTGCTCTGGCTGCCTGGATGGGTGTTGGAGTCACATATAAGAAATCCTGAAAAAATAAAATAAAAACATGTGATTAGGAGGAGGATTCACATCCTCAAGTACATCTGAAATTAAAAGGCCTAACAGAGGTTGCAGGTATTACTGGTCTTCTATGATTTGCTCATCAAAATACTCACAGGCTTGTGTTAATGATAAAACATTGGTTTAGAATCCAACATCTAAAATTCAGATCAAAATATAGTATTCTAACAAAATCAAAACTTTATGTAAAGTACATCAAGTAAGTCCAACAACATAGTAAAATAAAAAGCTATATTAAAAAACAATTATTTTGGCTATTTGTTCATTTACATCCCAATGGCTGCAGATATCAGAGCAGAGTTCCAACAGTAAATAAATAATCTTAATCTTTTTCATACCATTCCATAATAGTTACTGTTGACCATGATGGGGCTTCGTCCACGTAAGTAGACATATTCCTCCCACCAGTCACTAACCTGAAACACACAACAACACTTGTGAGAAAGCAGCCAACTGTGAGTCATGCTGATCCACTATGCAGACAGGATAAATTATTAACGTTACAAAACCTTGCAAAGCCATACATTCTTAATAGGATTTCTTATTTTCTTATTTTATTTTCCTCACTAAACCAGAGCACTGTTGCCAGTCACTTACGTAGTTTGCAGCCCAGAGAGCTTTGAGTTTGAGGTACCACTGCAGACGGTTACCAAGGCTGCCTTCAAACTCTGTGGCCAGCTTCGTCATTCGCTCATACTCTGCATCATTCATCAGGGGACGCACTGATTCCAAGTACTTCACAAAACACAAAATGAAACAAAGCAAAACAAAAATTATTTAGAATTTTACATGAGCAAAAGCTAACATATCTACTAAAAATAATAAAATGTCAATTACCTTACTAAAATACACAAAGATCAGGCAATAAAATGGGCAAAGATATGTGTGTTATTTGTTTAGTAATAAGCGTGACATAATTTCTTGTAAATCATGTAACATCTCACCCTCTTGACTGTGTCCTTTATGGTGGGCACAGGGAGGTTTGGCAGAGAACCCTGGTAGCTGTAGAGCAGAGGCTTTCTGCCAGAAAAGATCCGCACCAGCGCCTAGCATYGACACAAACGCAGACACTCTTAAAATACATCTATACGAGTTACAACTTAGGATTTTACATGTTTGGTTTAGTAAAAGGTAACTACACTGCACTGTGACCTAACTGGGAGACAGTAAAATGTATGGTTATTTAAAAGATGAAATTAAAGAACTCACCACCCAGATCTTTGTGGTGGTGGACATTTTGCCGTGCTGCTCAAACATCCAGCGGTGGTAGGACAGGAGCTGCTTGAGACACAGGCGCATGGTGAAGATGAGCATGAGCCACAGCATTGTGCTGAAGAGCACAGCTGACACCACTGCTTGGCACTGCATACTCATCTGACTGGAAATAAAAGATAAAACACAGTTTCACAGTGATATACACTTTATATTTATACACTTAAATTTCTCTTATAGAAAAATGTATTTAAAAATATTTAAATATCACACGTTTACTGAGAAAAATTATGTCAAACTGGCTTTTCTATGTGTGGACAATAAAACCTGGCATTGGAAATAACCAATACACTTTGTTCCCTTTTGTTTTTAATAGACTGTAAGAGTAAGTTATTGTGACAGCTGACACATTTGACTCTGACTCCTKTGTTTATATGTCAGAGAATATTTATAGGGTAAATCTCAGAAGGCTTCCTGCCAAGACAGGTTAATGTTTGTACCAAAACAGTGATGCAACAAAAACAATATGCTGTGAGTCTCTAACATGTTCCGGTGTCATTTTGTGGTTTACTGCTGCAGCCATTTATGGCCCAGTTGGACAAACACTCTTCACTTATAATATGTTCAGTTTCACATTAACAAAGAGCTCTGCTCAACCTGCCTTTAACAGGCTCTGACATTTCTGTCAAATCCAAACCATGTGCTCACACATCTAACAACAAGCTTTCCAACCAGTACCTATCAATCAGAAACAGGATTTGAAGGGTCATTCAAAGTACAAATTAATTGAAGTAGGATAAATAATTAGGTTTACATTTAACAAAATATTTTAACACTTGAAGACTACAAAACCTTCAAGTTTTGTATTGTTTGATACTTAAATATGCAAAATAAAAAGCAAAATTTGAATTTAAAACTGGTTTAAATATGGATATAAGCCAGAATTGTTAAACTCTCTTGCACTGATTCTCCATTTATATTTTTAGTTTTGTGTTCTTCAAATTTAACTAACATGATAAAATACTTTTAAACTACTTTATATTTGACTAAAATGGCAATCTAGTCAAATCTAGATTTTTCTGTGATACACCATACAATCAATGGAAGGGAACAAGAATGTGTTTTTTAGWATTTTAAGCCAAATCAAAATATTTATCTGTACCTGTTGGTCCTGAGTCCTTACCTGACAGGCAGGTGCTCCTGTATCTTAGCTATGAGGCCCATGGAGGGATCAGAGCGAGTGTACATTGTAGCCAGGATTGCTATGACCACAAAAAGCCAGGAGGAAGGACTGGCAGGGTATACGCCTGAGATCACACTGTTCTGTGAATGTGGGAAATAAATTATACATTTAAATGCCATTCTATTTTTGATTAGTACATTGGTATACTTCATGAATTATTTTTTGAGCAATGTATAAAAAATGTCAGACTCAATGTATATCATCAATTTCAAATAGACAATGAATAACAAGTCATTAATGCTGCATCTTACACATATCTAACATGTATGAACAACTTTTGCRTCATTTATTACTTTACAAAAGGTACTGTAAAACAAAACTTCAAAATATACTCTTAAATAAATACAATTATGTTATGATTTGTGTCTGTGTTAATGTTTTATTCTAGTTTTCTGTCTTGTCATCTGTTTTT